AGCGCTGACCCCGCGCCCTCCCCTCGCCCGCAGGTTACAGCCCAACATGGACACGCGGCAGAAGCAGCTGGCCGCCTGGTGCTCGCTGGTGCTGTCCTTCTGCCGCATGCACAAACAGTCGAGCATGACGGTGATGGAGGCTCAGGAGAGCCCGCTCTTCAACAACGTGAAGCTGCAGCGTATCCTCCGCGCTCGTCCCTCCCCTCGCCCGGCAGGCGGCTTCCCGTTAGACTGGACCCGCCGAAGAGCTGACGTCCATTTGGCCCCCGGAGGCGGCGCCAAGCCCTCTCGTCCTGGGCAGTGTTGAGGGCTTGGTTCTTAGAATCAGTGTCCCGAAGCCGTCCTGAGCTTTAAACCGGAGCCCTTTTTGGCTGTTTGAATCTCCTGTGCTCTCCGGGTGCGGCTCAAACCTAGTGCGACCTTCAGTAGTTTCCTCTGCCCATCCCACTCCTTGGGGGAAGTGAGGGTCATTTATGTTTGCTGCCTGATGCATCCCCACAATAGCTATGGAGAACAGCTGAAGAAGTCCAAAGGAGAGAGTCTGAGCAGTAGTAGTACCTTCCATCCTGCAAAGTTCTTCCTTCTCACTGGAAGAGTCTCCACCCCCAATATCCACGAAATGCTAATGTGTATCTTGTTTAGAAGTTGTGTGGGTGCGTGCACGGGTGTGTGTGTGTGTGTGTGTGTGTGTGTGTGTGAGGGCAGGTGGTTCTCAGCTCAGACTGGCTCAGAATTTTTATCCAGCCTAATTCCCATGTATGCCATTCCCTTAACCATCAACCAGGGAAGCTTCCTGTGGAATCAATCCAGATTGTATTAGAGGAACTGAGGAAGAAAGGTGGGTTTGGCTCCCCGATTCCTTATGTCTTCCTACTTGGATTTTCCCGAGGGCAGATTAGGACAGGTTCTTTGAATAACTTTTTCTCCTCACTGTACAGCAGTTGGCTTGGTTCCTGCCCCCTGCCCATTGAAACAACTCTACTTGTGCCCTAAGCCTGAGGAGAGGTGGGATAAGAACGGGTGCCTTGTAGATAGCAATAGCAAAATAAATACAGCCCATCACTGAAAGCAGAGGCTCTTCCACCCTGACCCACCTTGGTATTTGCCTCTTTGTCCTTTTTTTAGAGCATGATTTCCTAAGTCTCTGTTTTACAGGGAACCTCGAGTGGTTGGATAAGAACAAGTCTAGCTTCCTGATCATGTGGCGGAGGCCAGAAGAATGGGGGAAACTCATTTATCAGTGGGTGAGACCAGCCTGCGGCCAAGTGCTAAGCAACGATGCATGGCATGGACTTTTCTCTGTGCCCAGCAGATACCGGTGTTCCCAGACCCACACTTGGCCAGATGGGGGAGCAACAAAGAGAGCAAGAGTAGGCCTTCCTGGCAGGCCCCTCAGTGACTCTGTTTCCAGTAGGAGGCCAGAGGCGATGTGAGGCCATATTTAGAGAACGCAGAGCTGGGAACCATGAGTGTGATTGTTGGCCGAAACCTCCGGCCACAGGAGATAAATAGGGAAAGGAAGGGCAAAGAAACTGGGGCCCCTGCCCTGCAGTGCACCTTCAGGGGGCTGTCCACATAAGTGAGACATTCTGAGGTGGTGTGGGTGTGGGGTCGGAATGCTCTCCCCCACATTGCTAGCCACCACCAGCCCCACACATTCCCATGGGGAAGAGGAGAGGAGGAAGCACCAACAGCTTAAATATAACAGACACCACCCGTTCCTGAGCAGGGAAACCACCGGAATGTGAGGTCACTCTTCGGACATGTGAAGGCTTGTGGTCTAGTGGTTCCCAGCATGTGTGCACACACAAATATAGCACCTGTAGGGTTTGTGGTTTGGGGCCACTGCAGAGGTAACAGCCCTGGTTTGGAAATAGGGACCAATCCTGGATGAGAGAGGTGGAGCTGCTGAGGTTGCCTTCTCCCAGGAGACGCTTGGTCCTCATTCAACCTCATTTTCGGTGTCCACAGGTTTCCAGGAGTGGTCAGAACAACTCCGTGTTCACCCTGTATGAACTGACCAGCGGGGAGGACACAGAGGGTGAAGGTAATGCCCTTTCCCCTCCAGTGTTGGCTTCAGAAACTCCCTGGTGCTGGTCCCCTGGACACTCAGCCCTCGCATTGCTCTGCCTCTGCATCCCACAGTAGAAAAGTTCTTAACCCGCATGTAGAGCTCATCCGCCACCTGAATTCAGACAGCTCTGATGCGCAGCTTGTTTGTGGGTTTGTGTGTGCAGTTCCCTAGGGTTGGGGTCTGCACTGCCAGGCTTCAGGGGTGCAGGTGACCCGTGCACAGGTGAGAGTCACTGTCACTGCTAGCTGCGGCGCCGGTGTGGAGGGGTCAACCCTGGGATTGTCTCCCTTGCTGACTCAGGCTCTCTTTCCCCCTCATTCTCATAGAGGGCTCAGGATTCGTGGGCGTCAGCTCAAGGGATTGGGCCAATGCCCCCAGTCCATTTAAATACTTTGGTTTGGGGCCAGGCGAGGATTTGTATGGCTTTGATTTTTATGCGGGGTAAACTCTGTCTTAGCTCTTTTCTCTCTGGTCCTGATCCCCAGAGTCACCAAAAGTTACAGGCCTTACTGGGGCCCCTGGGGGCATCGCCTCCCTCCCTGCCAGGCCCCAGCTACCCCAGCAGAGGCTCCAGCTGTTGGCTGTTCCCGCTGCCCTGCAGGCCTCTGCTTGCCGCCCACCGTCACCCCATGACTTCAGCGCTGCCTAGCGCTCACTGGGCGTCCTCAGAACGCCAGCTCCTGTGGGAGCCCAGCCCGCGGGGTGAGGGGAGCCAGCCTGCTGGGGCTTGCCCACTGCCTCTCATGTCTCCTGGCCAGCTCCGGAGGGTGGGATCGGTGCTGGACGCAGCAGTGCCTGGTGGGTACTGGCTGGACTTGGTGTCTGGACAGGGCCTCCCTACCTGCACTGGTGTGCAGCCAGGGTCAGCACTTGTTGGGGTCCCTCCTGTGTGGCCGAGTTTCTCCAGTGACTGATTTGTTGGGGAGGTGAAGGGGCTGTGGGTTAGAATTTCCAAGAGTACCAGGGAGGGAGAAATAAGCCTGACTCAGCTTCCTTCCACCCTTACTCCTAAGCAGTACCAGGAACTCCTGGGATGGCAGATGCAGCAGGGCCAGTAGCCTCCACACCCCTTGGCTTTGGGAGTCTCGGCTCTGTGCAGTCCCTCGGAGAGCTGACTGTCCCTAATTGGCCCTCTCTTCCTGTCCAGAGTTCCACGGGCTGGATGAGGCAACCCTCCTGCGGGCTCTGCAGGCCCTGCAGCAGGAGCACAAGGCTGAGATCATCACCCTGAGTGACAGCCGAGGTGTCAAGTTCTTCTAGCAGAGCCTGTTGCCTTGGCGTCTCTCCTCCAGCCCTCCCAGACTGTGTCTGTGACCCATGGGGCTCCAGGCTGACAGCTGGACACAGGGATGGGGTCCCGTGCTCTACTGTCTGCCCTTGGGGGCAGGAGCCCAGGATGCAGGGCGAAGAGACATGCTCCTTGTGCCCGCCCTCCAGCCCACACGGCCTTGGGCCCAGGTCTGCGAACCCGTGTGGCCCTCGGTGTCTGCGCAGCCTGTGCCTCCCTCCCTGCCTGTCCCAGGCTGGTGCTGGGGCCTCTGAGGGCCAGGTAGCCCTGGCTGCTGGCGCCTTCCACGGCCCCTGGAGGG